AGCTGGACAACTAAAAATATATAGAAAAAAAAATTAGCTGGGCATGGTGGCACATGCCTGTAGTCCCAGCTACTCAGGAGGCTGAGGCAGTAGGATTGCTTAAGCCCAGGAGTTTGAGGTTGCTGTGAGCTAGGCTGACACCATGGCACTCTAGCCGGGGCAACAGAGTGAGACTCTGTCTCAAAAAAAAAAAAGTAACTTTTGGGCCAGGCAAGATGGCTCATGTCTATAATTCCAGCACTTTGGGAGGCTGAGGCAGGAGGTTCACTTGAGGCTAACAGTTCCTGAGACCAGCCTGGGCAACATAGTGAGACTCTATTTCTACAGAAAATTAAAGAATTAGCCGGGCATAGTGGTGCACATCTGTAGTCCTAGCTACTGCGGAGGCTGAGGTGGGAGGATTGCTTGAGCCCAGGAGTTCAAGGCTCCAGTGAGCTATGATTGTGCCACTACACTCCAGTCTGGGTGACAGAACAGATCCTGTCTCTTAAAAAAAAAAAAAAACTTTTTAAAAAAGGAAAAAACAACTGACACGAATAGTATCACAAAATAAATAAACCTCAAAATTATTATGAAATTTTCCAGACACAAAAAATAACATATTATTCCATGTTTTCATCTAGGAGTTTTATGGTTTTAGCTCTTACATTTAGATCATTGATCTGTGTTAATTGTTTGTATGGCATGAGTTAGGGGGTCTAACTTCATTCTTTTGCAACTGAATACCCAGTTGTTCCAGCACTACTTGCTGACCATTTCTTTCCCCATTGAATGATCTTAGCACCCTTGTTGGAAATCAATTGGCCATAAGTGTATGGGTTTATTTCTGGACTCTCAATTTTATTCCATTGGTCTATATGTCTGTCATTATGCCAATATCACAATGTTTTTATTCTGTAGCTTTGTAGTAAGTTTTGAAATCAGGATATGTGAGTCTTGCAATTTTATTCTTTTTCAAAATTGTTTTGGCTAATCGTGGCCCCTTGCAATTATATATGAATTTGAAGATCAACTTTTCCATTTCCACAAAAAGGCCACTGGAGTTTTGATAGGGATCTCTATTGAATCTGTAGATTGCTTTGAGGAATATTGCCATCTTAACAATATTTTCTTCTAGTCTATGAATGTGAGATTTCTTCACATTTACTTAATTTCTTTTAGCAATGTTTCGTACTTTTCAGTGTACAAATCTTGCACCTCCTTGGTTAAATTTATTCTAAGATTTTTAATTTTTTAGATGCTATTTCACATAGGATTGTTTTCTTAATTTATTTTTCAAATTTTTCATTGCTGGTATATGGAACTACAACTGATTTTTATGTGTTAATCTAGTACTCTGAAACTTCTCTGAATTCATTTTATTAACACTAGTAGTTTTTGTGGGTTTCTTTGGGGAATCTTTGGGATTTTCTGTATGTAAGATCATGTCATCTGTTTAATATAGTTTTACTTCCTCCTTTCCAGTTCAGATGGCCTTTTACTTCTTTTTCTTACCTAATTGCTCTTGATAGAACTTACAGTGAGTAGTTCAGTGAGTATACAGTGAGTATAATGTGAGTAGAAGTGGTAAAAGTGGGTATTCTTACCTTGTTCTTGCCCTTAGAGAAAATGCTTTTAGTCTTTTACTATTGAGTATAATGTTTGGTATGTGTTTTTCATAAATGACTTTTATCATGTCTAGAAAATTCCCTTCTATTCCTAGTTTGTTGAGTGTTTTTATTGTGAAAGGGTGTTGAATTTTGTTAAATGCTTTTTCTGTGCCAATGGAGATGATCGTGTGGTTTTTATCATTCGTTCTATTAATGTGTTAAGCTCCACTGGTTTTTCTTACGTTAAACCACTCTTCCATTTTTGTGATAAATCCTGCTTGGTCATGGCATAAAATCCTTTTAATATATTATTGGATTTGGTTTGCTAGTATTAATATTTTATTAAGGATTGTTGCATTTATATTCATAAG